ACTTGCAGACTGCCTCAGACTGTAGTCTCAAAGCAGAGACTGCGCGGACGAGAGAGGACAAATCCGTCTCCACAGTACTGCTGCGGGGGGTTTGGAAACCAGATAAACAAGGAAAGACTGCAGCCCACGTCCACACAGCTGTGTGGGAAAGAAGGCAGCATCCTATGAAATATTAAACAGCATCCCCAGAAGGCATCTCAGCAATATTCTGGTTCCCTCCCCTGGCCCCTACAACCATATAAGTTGTTAAATGACAGCATAAAACATGGTACAATTATGGGAGAACCGTCAGTTGTGATGAGTATTTTCAGAGTACTTCTTTGTTCCGGGACTTTGCAAGTGCTCTGGTTTAACTCCCTTCAAGCTCAGTATCATCCTGAGATGCACTCCTGCTGTGGATGTTCACGACTCAGAATCACTACCCTAAATCCTAAAAAGTGCCTCCAGTTCACTATCGGGAGGGTTTGAGGCTGTTTGCAGGACCTTAGCCCAGAAGCTAAGAACCACCGTTTTTGGAGGAAGTTTAGAGACCCACCACAGGTAGGCTTTTGAGGAATGTTGTCTAAGGAGGTTGTAACCTTCAATTGCTTCTCCCTGCTCCTAGTGGTGGGCTTTTGGGAGACAACCTCACACTGGCCACTGTCACATTGCTTTCTTCTCTCCCAAGACTCCAAAAATAACAACATACAAAGGCAACACACACTGCCACTGCTACACACTGACAGGTTACATTTTGTGGGGTGTGGACTGGGCAGGGCACACTCACTGTGCTTTCAAAAACTCTTTCTGAGCCACCAGTGACGGGATTTGGGGGTGCCGTGCATGCCATCGCAGTCCTTGGGTAATGACTGTGTGTCATAAACAGGATATGGCATTTCAGAGCATCTTTAAAGCTATTTCCTTTTGTACGACTAATTTAATGTACCAAATGCTCCTGGGAAAAGGGAGGGGGACCAACATGCTGACTCCACACTTCCTGAAAAATCAACATTTTCTTTTTAAATGGCTCTCAAAGAAATTACATCTGATTGTTGTCTGCTGGCTCCCTCCAACTCTACCTCTGTCAAAATCCTGCCCTGGCAGGTGTGAGGAGAATATATGCAGAACTTGAGTGAATACCCACATCTGTTTTTGGAAAAAGGGAACAGAAGCAGCACAGAAGGAAGGAAAGGAGATAATTGCTGGCTTGAACTACAATACATTTTACTTGCGGGCAGAGGGCCAGCTTACAGCAGGCGGAATATGCAGGCCCATCTTATTGGGATTCAGGGGTGGGCCTCCATTCTTGTCCGGAGACAGCTGTAAACCAGCAGCCCATAGCATCACAATCAGGCACAGGGTTTTGTCAAGGAATGCTGATTTGTACAGAAGCAGCTTTGTCTGCTTCCCCTGTACCCCTGCCTAATGAAATGACAGTCAATCTCTGATTCCAGATGACAAGAACTGGATAAAAACTTAAAACAAATGGCGACCTTTCAAAAGATTAATTTGTTTACCAACACCATGTTCCCTCTTTGTCATCTGAGATGGAGGTGACCTTCACTTTCCCATATCTAGGCTGAAAGGATGCTGACTATAGTCATCTGTTAAGTTAACTCTCTCTCAGCAATTATTCCCTTTTTTATTTTTAGTGACAAGAAGGGTTTATTAATTCACTCTGCTTCTTGTTATGGTTTATAAATGCAACAAGCTCATTCTGAGTTACTGCAGTGTAACATCAATTTGTTTAAATCTAATTCTGCTACCGTTGCCAAATTATGTTGTGATTGTAATTGTGGCCATATGCATGGGCTTAGAACACAATCATGTTTTGAAATTGTCCTTCTATCTACCGCCCCACCCCACCCCCTATTTCTGATATTTCTTCTAATCATTTGACATTAACACAATTGCCTCGCTTCCATTACTTTATCATCTCAGAAATGAATGTGCTTTCCATGAGAGGGAGATTACTATGCACACCCCAAGTGGAACAGTAAAGAATGAAATTATGATTTGTGAAGTGTGGTTGCTACCCAACTAAGTTAGTGAAAAACACTGCATAACGTATGACTCATAAAATGTAGAAATCATAATAGTATTAAATTCCACCTCATGAATAAATAAAAGATTCTAAGTTTACATTGCATTATATATTTATTTATTTAGAAAGTGGGACCAAAGAACTGGTATAATTCTACAGCAACTCATATCTTGCCAAAAAGAAAAATGTTTTTATGATTCTTTTCTAGGTCATAACAGTTATAATCAGAGTTATTTGTGCAGCAATTCAAAGCAATGTTTTGTTTGGCTATTTTGTTACATTCATAATCGTTCTTTTAAAATTCATGTTAACAGATACATGTTTCAAGCCTTTTAAGAAACCCTTTTTATTTAAAAAGAAATAAATCAAAGTCAAATTTTCTGTACATTTTTTAGTGGGTTGCATTATAAAGTCTAACTAGAACTAGATGCCAGTGCATAAATACAAACAGTACCAGGGATTTCTTCCTAGCTCCTCATACAAATAAGAACCAACTCAACAACATGTTAGGGGGATGTTTGGTTTTTATTTGGCAGATTTGGAAAAAATCATTGGTGAGCTTTGCTTTTAGTGTTTTAATTTTTTTTGAAATTATTTTGCATAATAGAGACATAGAACATAAAACTCTGAAGGCAGTTTGTGACATCCGCCTGTCTGTGCAGGGCAGTAGAAGAATATGCATTTTCAAAACCCTGAAATCTTCCAGTAGCTCCTCATTATCAGGAGGAAAGCACCTCTTCATCAGATGAAAATAACACTCCCAGCTCCTAGGAACTAATAACGTAAACTGGCCACCTATTCAAACTTGCTTTGTCCAAAATTGCCTGAGATCATTAGTAGGCTTTTGACAAGCTGTTTAAGTGTCATAAGAAGTAAAGAAACACATGACCCCCCGTTGCCACACAATCAGCCCCTCTGAGTGTTGACAGTAGTTCTGGGGGCTGGGGATTTAGCTCAGCGGCATAAGCACCTGCCTTGCAAGCAGGCAGTCGTGAGTTCGATCCCTGGTACCGAAAAAAGACAAAAAAAAAAAAAAAAAAAAATCAGATAAGACAGTAGTTCTGAAAGGCGAGTTGCCCTGGTGCTGCTTTTCTAATCAGCTATACCTCGAGATGCTAGACACATTGCTGCAGAATAGATAAGCGCTTTTAAAGAACATTTTTGTAAGTGGTAAGCCATGGCTATGTTTGCCCTCAAATGCTTTACATGATTGTTTAAAACCAAATGCCCTAATACTTCTATCAAAGGACTTTCTGAACAATAATTCTGCTTTATAATCTCAAACTAGGAATGCTGTTTTTCCAGGTAGTGCCATCATATATTTCTATCAATATAAAATGAGAGTCAACAAACCTTTCTGATCAAAGTGCCAATAGTTCAAGCAAAATACACATAATGTACATCCAATTTTAAAATGCTCTGGTATAGGTTTTTATGGAGTTAAATTTTATGAAACAAAGGGATCCTTGATAAGGAAAATGAATTATACATGATCAATATTCACACGGGGCCAAGTGCTTCCCCAAATCCTGTTTGTACATGGAAACGACAGGCATGACACACATTCTGCTCAGAAATGAAAAAAATACAGTAAGTTACAAAGATACTGGCCAAATTGTGGGTATAATTTTGAATCCCCTATTTAAGTCTGAATCTTCTTTCAGATTCTTAAAGCAAAGCTCAATCCTCTCCACAACTAGAGGTCTGCGTTTAAGAACCCAACACACCGCAACACAGAAAGTTTGCAGGAAATGCTGCCGTTGCCCTAGGCTACAGAGCCTCAGCACTCCGCCAGCTAAGCCAATATTAATTCTAGATGGAAGAGGAAAACCAACAGTGACAAAAGAGAAATCTGCTTCTGTCTGTGCAGCCAGAGAAATAATATTTTTATTTCAAGGCTTTTTGGGCTCATGGGAAGCAGATAAAAACCCTTTCACATTATTCACAATGACATTTTAAATAAAGTTTCAGCAGGAATAAAAATATCTAACATTCTGGTTATTTCTTAGGCTATAAAAGTATTTCTATGATAAAGTGCTCTTAAAGCAAACCTGTTAGGAAAACATAAAGCACATATAAAGAGACTGAAAATATATGTCTAAGTTACACGAATGAAGTAGGCAGTTGAAAACGTCTATAAAGGAAATTTGGAAGATTAATCTCCAAGACTATTGTGCCAGTTAGAAATGGCTTTGCAATTTGATCCTACAGTTAATCTTGTTTTCAGTTTTAATTTCACCAAAATACACATTTAAGAGTTTTTGAGCATCACGAAGGTTAAAAAAAAATTTTAAAAAATGTATAGATTCCACCTCAGTAATTGTTTGTAATATTAGAAACAATCTTAAATAATTTCAGTGTTAAAATGCAGCATTACTCTTAATTCTCCTAAGAAAAGCCCATAGCACAGAATGAATACAATCCTTGTTTCGGGACACTTTAGTAGCAAGTCAATCGCAAAAAAATAATAGACTCAGATTCCTTCGTGCAAATCTACATTTGATTATTTTCCTCTCATTATTTTGCTAACATAAAAGACTAGTTCCTGTCTACTTCAGATGTAGAATATTCTTAAATTCTTGCATTCTAGGAGTATACACAATTTGAAGTAGACACCTGGCTGTTTTGATTTCTCTAGTGATAAGGCTATTTCCAAGACATACAACAATTAAAATTTCTCTATTCTTTTTTGTCATGAAATTACTTTCCCTTGTTATGATTATGGCACTGTTTAGGAATATCAAATAAAACAGAGAGGTCAGAATGAACTACAAACAGATTTCTAAAAATAGCTTTACATTTTCTTAATCATTACTAATTCCAGACAGAATGAAAGCCACTTGGCTTCAACTCCAAAAAATTCATAGGACAAAAGAATCCCAGTTTCACTTCAAATCCACATTATCCCTTCTACTAATAATAAATGACCACTAATTCTTAAAAAATTAATTGTTCATTAAAATGACTTGTTACTTACACGTGCTTTTCTCTGATTAATGTGTGGCAAACTGATTCCATAGTTCGCATTTACAGCAGCTCTGTGTTGTGTGTTTTCAGGATCTTGCATGATTTTTACATTCAACTCTATCTTTTGCTGAAACAAAGAAACAATGAAACTTTCATGCCAGCTGAACAAAAATGCTAACATCTTATACTCTCACAGGAATACTAATTTCTTTGAAAACAATTATTTTAATGTAATTATCACTGGAAAATATATTTAGGTCTTTTATTTAGGGTGTTAATTGGTTCCTTTAATTCATAGAAAAGGAACTTTCTGCCAATTTCCCTTTATGTATCAAACTGCTCATGCAAATATGTCTCGAGACACTATTTCTTCTCTGAAATCATACTCAAAGTCAACTGAGGTGGACAAAGGACAAGAATACCTGGTCTCAATTTATTTTTAGCTCTCTAGGTTGAGAATTTTGTCAATGAAATCTATACTACACATACGCAGGTAGAGGGCTCCCTCGATCTGTTCGTAGGGCCACTTCCTCCAGGGACACCTACAGGTAGATCTCGGTTTGGACCTGATCAGTTTACCACAATAGATTTATCTACTCCTTCACAGAGATTTTGCTGCCTGTAAGGATAATTTGTGCTTTAACTGGAGAAAATACAAGCATCTTCCTCACACAGATCCATTACTGTTGATGCTTGAAAAGAAGCCACAACTGGGCAGCCTAGTGGTGGCAGGAGGGGCACTGAACAGGGGCCAGAAGATCTGGGTGCCAGCTCCACTCTGGACTGCTGAGTGGATCCTTGGTAAGTCACTTCACCTCTCGGGACGTCAGTTTCTTTACTTGTAAAATGTGACAATTAGACTCAAACTCTCCCCCAACTGTGGTAGTCTCTGATGTGAGGCTAGGAATACAGTATCACCAACAATTTCTAAAGTCTTTTGTAAGTTTTTTATTTTAATATAACTCACATTCCATAAAGTAACACCCTTTAGAATATGCAATTCAACAATATTCACAAAGCTATGCAAGCATTGCAGCTAATTCCAGAGCATTCTCATTACCCCCAAATAAGACTTCCTACCTATTAGCAGTCCCTTCCTCTTTCTTCCTCTCCTTAGCCCCAGATAACCACTAATCCACTTCGGGTCTCTTTTTTTTAAAATTTAAAAATTTAAATTAATTTAAACTAATTTTAAAAAAGCAAAACAGTCGATCTCTATTGATGTATGCTTGACATTCCATGTGAATGAAATCTCAGAATATGCACCTTTGTGACTTATAGTATTTTTGTAAAAGGCTGGAGGTACTACAAACAACTTAAAAGTTGATTTTAGTTCAATTAAGTAACACAGCTCTGGAGCTGAGGGTATATAGCCTAGTGGTAGAGCACTTGCCTAATGTGTGAGGCCCCGGGTTCAATCCCCAGCACTAAAATATATAATAGCAATATATACTACTTATATATACTTCTATATACTAAGCTACTACATAATATCTTAGTTCTGAGATATCTGATGCAATGTAAAAACTATTGTAGGAACCACGTAGATTAGGTCATCATTCAGTTATTTCTTTAACCATAAGCATTCATAAATGGCCTAAGGTCAAAGTGCAGGCAAGGGCTATAAAAATATCTTTGCAATGTAATGCCATCTAAATAGAAGCTACTTCTTAACACATGCTCCAAGCCTTTCTTGTATTTTTTAAATAGCATTTTAGTAACCACATCTGGGAATAACTGCCCTCAGCTGTCTGCTTGACATAACCCATGCAGAGACACAGGTTGCAAACACGGCATATCCTGCCACACTCTGCTTCAGGTGGAAGTGATGACAAAGGCAATGTAGGCCTAATTACAAATGGCTTCCCTTCTGTGGCCAACCCTCAGTCACGACATTACTCCAGGGTTTCTGCATGGGAGCCTAGGGCCTCTTTTATTGAAATTAATACCTGAATGTAATTTTTTCCTTCTTAATTAAACTTTCAGAATAATTTCCATTCTACCAAGGATCAGGAACTTGCTAATATGTATTATATTGACTGGTTGTGTTTTCTGTAATTAGGGTGTTTTAAAAATGTATATTCTGGATACAGTTGATGGTAATAGTTTCATCTATCATGTCTAAGCCTTTGTTAGAACTTCTTAATTCTGGGATCATTGTCTCAGTGGACCAGGGAAGTTTTCTTGTGCTCCATCAACTTTGTGTGGTTATGAGACTAGCACAGGGATGAAATGACCAAATACAGAATCATTGTTAAGCCTGGTATTAAAACTATTGTTGTCTGGCCGTTTTGCATTTCTGTGGCACTGGACAGAGATAATTCTAAAAAAAAATCTAAAAATCTAAAAGTAAATCAGTATATAAATAGAAATATTTATATTTCCAAAAATAAATCAGTATATAGAAATCTGACAAAATGATAGGTTGTTTTTAATTCTTTATTGTTGACTTCTAAAGCAACAGGAAAGGTTGCTTAAAATTAATAATAGTCTAATATTTACTTTTTGAACCAAAGTTTGTATACACCAAAATAATATGTAGCATGCATAATTTAATTTCCCCATAAAACTTATTAAATGAATATATATTTAGATAATATTAATGTATCAAATGACTTTACTGAAAACCACCACCAAAAACATCCAAAACCTAAATTTGTCTTACAAATCATCTATAGGAATGTATAGGAAAATACTTATAACCATCAGCCATATTATTAGATCCAGTAATAAGGTTTTTTCCAAGAAAAAACAATTATAGATTTTTAAAAACAAAAATAAAATTAACCATTCCATTAAGCAGAAAAACATGCTCTGGAAGATGATCATTTTTTACCAACAGTATGATAAATATCAGAATTAATTTCAAAAAATTTTTCTTAAATTGGTCAAGAAAAGACAGCAATTTATTTATCTTGAGTCACTGAACAATCTAAACTTTGTCTTCTTTCCTTTTGATAGTAATTACAAGCAGATATATCAAATGTGACTCTCATTTAGACTTCGGTTTGTAAGAACAAAAGTTATTATCAGAGCCAATTACTGTTTTACCTACATGGCTGCACAGAAGCGGGAGCTCAATTTTCATCTCATCAGTGATTTTGTGGTATTTATTTTATTACTATGCCCACAAAGCTATATAAGAAGGAAATAGCTTATGCTATTAAAACTAGGGTTGGAATATAAGAGGCTGAGGTTTCTTCTAGAAGAACTTCCGAATTAAAAACACTAGGCAGCTCCGTAATACCAGTTCCCCAGACATGGGCAGACCATAAAATGACACTCATCTGCGCAGTAGCTCCACACAGAGTAATCAAAATTGAAATGCTTCACAAACAAAGTTGAGAGAGTCTATTTACCAAGTTACGGTATTATCAGCATAACATCATTCTCAACAGTGTTTGCCACAAGTAATGTCTTCTAAGTGGGTATTGCTTAATGTCATATTCCCACTGGTAAAGGCATCTGCCATTTAATCTCAGAGCCAGAGGAAAGACAAATAGGGAAATAATTCTCCCACCTTTCACTCTCATTCTCTCAACCACTGTTACATATAATGGAAAGAACAATAGACATTAAGTCCTGGTTCAAGCCCTACGATCTAGACTTCTCATCTGAAAAGCTGGGTAATAATACCCAGGTTGAGTGTTATTTGTGAGGTTCAGATGACTAATGCATGTCAAGTATCTTGTACATTATAAAGTACTGTTCAGGGGCCAACTTTAAAGGAGTTCCTACCAGCCAAAAAAAATGACTGTAATGGATTGAAACATTGCAAATATACAGAATCCACGAGTTCTTAATATTTCCCTCAAAAACTTAATGGAAAAATTGATAAATTAATCAAAACTGACAAATTAAAAAGGAATCAAGCCTTTATCCTACTTTTCCTCAAAAACTGTTACCCCACTAAGGAACAGGTTTTTGCTAATAAATGCTAAGGAAATGAAAGAATTATAAAATCATTAGTTTCATAATTTCTAATGAAATAATATATTGAGGTAAACATCAAAGTTGCTACTAGGTAAAAAGTTATGGAGGGTTTTGTACTAGAGCAAGCTGGTAATAACTGGAGTCACTGATAAACCTTAGTATCACTGAACGAGATACAGTTCCTGATGAACTGTATATGAAAGTACATAGCACAACCTATGAAACATTCCTGCCAAGAAGATGGAATCTGAAACTCATAAGCTTATAGGTAAAACTCCCGCTTCATTTTATTTGTAGAGAAAAAAAGCACTGAAAAAATTAGAATGCAATCAAGCAAGCAAACAGACAAACAAAAAACCCAACAAAAGCCAAATGATGACAACAACTACTATAAAATAGTGACATAGGATTTCAAAATCAATGATAGGAATTTAACCAGGGATATTCTATTACATATGGTTATCTTCAAAATAGTTGCTCAAATATAGGCATGCAAAATTGACCAAACAATATGGTTTCCTTTTGAGCAGTTTCTTTCCCTTTCACTATATCTATTGTAACTTTAATTAAGAATTTACTTTGTTTCTTACACTAGTGAGAAAATATGGTGTTTACACATGTGAGTCTGATTTATTTCACTTATGAGTGTGGTCTCTAGTTGCATCCATTTACCTATAAAAGCCTTGAGTATATCCTTCTTTATAGCTGAGAAATACCAGCTTATTTTTGTATAAAAATACCACATCTTTTTATCCACTCCTCAGTTGATGGGCATTTGGGTTGTTTCCAAGTTCTGGCTATTACAAATTGTGCAGCTATAAACACGGGTGCACATACATTGCGGTGGTGTGATGTTTTGAATTATTCTGGGAAAATACCCATAAGGGGGCTAGCTGGGTCAAATGGAACACTAATCTCAGTTTTTTGAGGAATCTCCACACTAATTTCCACGGTAGTTTTACCAGTCTCCACTCCCACCAACAATGTAGAAGTGTTCATTTTCCCCCACAACTCCACCAGGATTTGTTATTTGTTGATTTCTTAATGTTAGCCATTCTTTTTGGAGTGAGATGGTATCCCAGTGTTGTTTTAATTTGCGTTTCTCAAATGACCAGTGATGTTGAAAATTTTTTCATATATTTGTTTGCCATTTATATTTCTTCATCTGAGAATTGTGATTCATCTCAGATGCCC